GCTCCCACCCTGTCACTCCAAATTGAGCAGTCCAGAGTCATTTGAAAATGATTTGAAAACTTTTAATAAGGTTACAAAACCCATACACTTAGCTTACATAGTGTACAAAAGTTTCTGCAAGTATGTGTACTGAAGCACAGAAACAGCTGTGCAGAAAACCACTGCACATAGCATAAAAATACACAAAAAAATGTAGTTCAGGAAAGAAAGTGCCTTGTGCATTTAAAAAATCCAGTTGTGGATCTTAAGAATATAGTAATTTTGAAGTCATAACACAGTTTAAGGGGAATGTACAATTAACCAAAACCACCTAAGAGATTCACACAATGCCACAAAAATACAAAGCTATACATCCCACTTTGCCATCCTCTGTAAACACAGGAGGACCATCGCATGACTGACATCTTGCACATTTCCTTTCCTGGAATTCACCAGCAGCATTTAAGAACCTTGATGTACTGTTTAATGGCCCTGAAGTTTAAGATACAAGTTTCAGCCAAAAGGTTATGCTTGAAGGAAGTTGTGGTTGATTTCTACATGAAGAGTTTACTTGCATGTATGGAAGTGCTCAGTAGTTCTGGGTTTGGGTGTCATCTTAAAGAAGGAAACAGTCTTTATTGTGGATTTACCTTTGGAGGGGCCTGGTTCTTTTCCCGTGGCACCTACATAACACAGCCTGAACTGCTCAGTGTAAAACTTCTATCTCTCAGATGACACATAACATCCAGTATCCATTACAAGTAGTTCTTCCCAACAACAGAAAAAGCATGGGAAGTTTCTCTGCAAGACACGCAGATGAGCATGGACTTGCCTGATCTTCATTCCTACTTGCAATTTACGTATGCATTTGTTGAAGAATCACACTGAAAATCAAGAACGACATATGGGAGAACACCTGCAGCTATGCAAAACTGACAGCTGTAGCAACCATGCTTTCAAAGGAAACTGCATTACTCCCAGCAACTTACACCAGCATCTAAGGTCTTAGAACTCAGGAAAGCTCTAAAACCAGAAGCAGATTTTTGCCTTACAGCAGGTATTTTACTGAACTGAAAGCCTGAAAAGACATCTTGTGACACTTCCAGTTACTTAGAAGCTATGAAATCTTGTGACACTTCCAGTTACGTAGAAGCTATGAACTACCACAGTCAAATTGTACACCCTTGTGGAAACAGGAGAAGCCCAGCTCTGTGCTACTACTTGTCTTCCTCTGCAGAAAGATTGTTCTTTGCCTCTTACAAAACACTGTGCATCTGAGTCTCAACAGCATAAAGCTGCATCACAGACCATCACATTCAAGTACATTTACACAGCTGACAGAAGGAATGCCACCATATTTGGTTCAGTCTAGAAAACGGCACACATCACCCACTGAGTCACATAAGTAAGCTGCTGTTACAGGAGCCAGTCGGCCTTGAAACCACTTCCAGGTTCTTCTCATTCACAAGCTGCTGTTACAGGAGCCAGTCGGCCTTGAAACCACTTCCAGGTTCTTCTCATTCACAAGCTGCTGTTACAGGAGCCAGTCAGCCTTGAAACCACTTCCAGGTTCTTCTCATTCACAACAGTCTTGGAGTGACCTCTTCCTCTGGCCAGCATCTCAGACAACAAAGAGTAAATACTTGAGACAACTTACAAGTTGCTCTAAACTCAAACAGCACATTCGCAGAATTCAGGATACAGTTTGGTATCAGTCCAATTTCTTCAGCTGTTCATATGTCAGAAAGAACTGGACCAGCTGATTAAGGAAAACTTTCCTATTCACATGTGCAAAACGGTCACCTCACCACTAAGGGACAGCTGCATCTGTGTGCAGCTTTGTTCCACTTTGTTCCCTCCTATGCAATCCTGCTGGTTGGCCATTTTTGTTACACAGTACTAGGCAGAAAAATGAAACTTGCTTTAATGCTGGTGATGCCAATTGCTTTCCCATACTTATTCCTCAGGATCTTAAACACAGGACTGAGGAGGCAGGAGAACACTGTGAAAGCCCTTAGAGTCTTTTCTCACTTAGCTTTGATGGGCTAAAGCAGGTTTGCTCATGGTAAAAAACATTACTACCAACTCACTTCCCAGGGCTCTGATCAGCTGGTTCTTGAAGCAAAATTGTGCAAGATAAAAAAACAAAAAAAAAAAAAACAAAAAAAAAAACAACCAAAAAAAAAAAAACCCACAGAAAAATGTTTTGCAAGGTAACATTCCAATATTCACTCTATGTGAATCACAAATTCACTCCGACCAGCAGCAGCTGATGAAAACCGTCAACTACACAATTTCCTATTCATAGGAAGGGAATATTTGTGCTGATGTGACACTTTCCACACTGAGAATTCTGTGAAGTTGTCAATACCTGCTGGTTTATGGCCACCTTCATAATTTTGCACAGGTTTGAAAAGGATACAATGATATTCCAAGGACCAAGTCTTAACCAGTTTGGCCAAAACCCCTTATATAGAGCAAAAAAGCCTTCATTCTTCCATGTCTGGGGAAAGGAATTTAAAAAACCAAAACACAAACACCACACATAAGAACAAACAATTCTTATTAGTGAGAAATCTAGGCAGCATCTCTTAAACATATTGTGTGAGGAGGCAAAAACATTTCACTATATAAAGCCAAAATTAGCGATGCCCACATTACCATGGTAAGTAAAGATGCAGGTCATTCAGTACCCAACCCAGATTTGTCCAAATTACATTCCTGGACTTTTTTTACCCCTATAAAATCCCTTGCAGATGGGGGGGGTGTGTGTATATACACACACACACATACACACAAATACTCACACACGCACAGACCCCATGTATATAAAACCTGTAGCTCCCATCTGGTACCCCCTTGAGATTTTGCTTTATGGACTTCACAAAATTGCACTGGACAACTTGTGCAACTTGTTCTGCAATAGAAACTGCACTGTCCAGCCACTCTTCTCCATATAAAAGGCCATCATGCTCCCACCTCATACCCAATTTAGGAATTTAAGTAATCCAAGCCAAAATAATCAAAATCAGACACTGATACTGCCTTTGGCTGTACTAGCCTCTCCACTACGCAGTAAGCAGAGAGGACCATCTACCCCAGAAGATGTTCTTCAAGGACTGACCTAAGAAGTTACTATTTCCTACCAATATATCAAATGTTACATCTTACAAAGTTAAGAGACAGTGCCCTCATCCAAGCACCAAAAGGAATAAGGCTCCTGCAGCACATACTGCCTTTCCGTCAAGACAGCAGATATTTTTCACACCCAGCGCATTACTGGTAGTGTAGTCCTTTTGAGCATTATGGCAAAAAGCTTACCTAAGTTACTTGGAATCTTAGAACAATTTCAAGCTCTCCACCAAAATCATTGCCCAATGGCACTAATTCCTACCTAAGTGATAAATCAACTACTTACTTGTAACAAGCAATCCAAAGTACCCTTGTAGTTTGAGTGTCCCCCATGTTGTTGGCTTCTCTGATTCATCATGCGTGTTCTTACAACATCAATTGGGTTGGATGCAAGGGCTCCAGCTAACCCGCAAGTAAAACTTGAGCTAACAAAAGAAAGGTTTAATGAAATTTGATCTACTACACTTAGATATGCACAAGAACTACTGCATGTTTTCTGGGGAGGGGGAATAATGAGCACTTTCATGCTTTTATTTAAAAATTACACCTGACAATAAATGAGAAAATTACTTTTCATTTACTATAAAGCATCATTTTGAAGATTTGATACACAGTCCTTATATACAGTCTCTGCACATTGAACAGATGTTTGTGCCTTTGAGAACAGCAAATATTTGATTGGAACTCTCCTCTAAATTCAATTTGCACAGCTGAATGATATGGACCACCCACAAAAAATTCCATATTCAAAAGGAAGTTAATCCAAATCCTAAATAAAATTAAATACCATGCTATATGCTACCATTTCAGATGCTACCGCATTAAATAGTATAAACACATCAGAAGTTTATGTAAATATATTTTTAAATTTATATATTTAAATATATAGATGACAGAAAAATCAAAATACTGACACCACCCACCACCCCCCATAATGAGACCTAACCAACAATGAGCTATGCAAGCAGTTAGTTATGCAAACTTACAGGAAGTGTGTATATACTGTATCTCCCATAAATCCAGACATAATTATGTGCTTCTTGGTAAGGTCATACACTGGCAGTTCCACTCCAACAACAATAGCAGCTCTCTGTGCTGTCAATGATACTCCCTGGCAAAAGAAAGGATACACATGAAGTTTAAAATTAGCTTTGTGCACCAGCAGCAAATCCTAGCTTTTTGTCAGGGTTTAATCCCAGCCTGCAACTAAAGTACCACGCAACTGCTCACTTGCTTCCCCTGCCCTCTGGTGGGATGGGGAAGAGACTCAGAGAAAGGTAAAACCCATGGTTTGAGATGAGAACAATTTAATAATTGAAGTAAAATGAGTTAATAGAAATAGGAGAAAGAGGAATGAAACCCCAGACAGACAAGTGATGCACAATACAACTGCTCACCACCCACTGACCAATGACCAGCCCATCCCTGAGCAGCAATTAGCCCCTCCTGGCCAACTCCTCCCAGTTTATATACTGAGCATGATGTTCCATGGTATGGAATACCCCTTTGGGTAGTTTGGATCACGTGTCCTATCTCTCTGCTCCCTCCTGCCTTCTTGTGCCCCTTCTCACTGGCAGAGCACAAGAGACTGAAAAGTTCTTGATCAGGGTAAGCACTACTGAGCAACAACTCAAAAAAAAATAAAAAAAATAAAAAAATTGATGTGTTACCAGTGTAATTCTCAGACTAAAGCCAAAACACAGCACTGTACCAGCTGCTAGGAAGAAACTATCCGAGCCAAAACCAGGACACTCTCATAATACAAAGCAACAGACCATGAACGTGTTAAGAACTCTGTGAATATAAATAAGGCTAATTAGCACAAGTGTCAGATATGTGTGCTCCAAAAAACCTCAAATTCAAATTAATAGATAGAACACTTAGAATTACAGAATGGTTAGGGTTGGAAATGACCTTAAGATCATCTAGTTCCAAACTCCCTGCCATGAGCAGGGATGCCTCACACTAGACCATGTCACCCAAGGCTCTGTCCAACCTGGCCTTGAACACTGCCAGGGATGGAGCATTTACCACTTTCCTGGGCAACCTGTTCCAGTGCCTCACCACCCTCACAGTAAAGAACTTCCTTATATCTAACCTGAATTTCCCCTGTTGACGTTGGAACCCATTACCCTTGTCCTATCACTACAGTCTCTGATGAAGAGTCCCTCTCCAGCATCCACACTGCATGGAAATTTCAGTTCCTTTATGCTAGTCCAGCTCCATTTAACATCCAAATTCTTAGATCAACAGCAAGCTATGACCTCAACAACCAGATGATACTGCATCCCTTAATGCTAACTGAAAAACGGACAAAATAAGGAATATGAACAGAAAAATGGAGATCAAGAAACTCTGCAGAGAAAAGCACGCTAATAGAAAAACATTTTTGTTTTTTCCAGCTGTTTCAGAACAATGGTCCATTTTGGATCTTCAGTTGTTATACACTCACTGGCTGTAACTGGCATTAAGGGACAACCTACAAGACTGAGAACAAGAAATCCTGAGCTAGAGGGGACGTTCATTAGTGCCTTCATTTCCAAATATCATTGAGTATGTTTTAAAAAAAGCAGAGCATACAGATTGAGAGGTGTCTTGCAAAGGGTTGCTAAACTAGTCCTGGAGCAGTCACGCTAATTTATGCCTCCTTTTATCTTCCCTTTAGTAAGTGGCTAATCCTTGAACACAAGACTGGCAGTAACCCTCTCTCAAAATACACCAGGACACCAGCAACGCAGTTGTCCTGACAAACTACATCCGTATTAGTTTCTCCATATTTTAACTGAGAATGCTGCAGAAGTACATAAAATTCAGTTGAGCAAGAACATGCATTCAAAATGTAGAATACAGTTCAACAAACTTGCCTTCCATAAGCCTTTAGTGCCTTCCTTTTGGTAGATCTGTATGAAGTTGCCCATCATTCCTCCTTGAATCACACTACCTTGGGCTTGCATTCTGATCTGCAATTCATTTGAAGATAAAATCAGAATATAAATATTTTTCAAACTTGCAACAATAGCTTAATACAGTTTTATTGACATTTTAAGTTAACTTCTTTTTAATAAACTCAAGTTCTCTTAGAATAAAAATTAATAGCTGACATTATCATATCTATGATGCAATCTTTTGACTTAACTATCCAAATGCAGCTGCTAATTTTGAACAAGTACATGGTATAATTCTTAGCTGCATTAAGTCACTTCTATTTCTGTTCTCGCACACTACTCCATTTAGATTAGACTGACAGATGGGTTCTGCAGGATGTCCTTTACAGTGTTCTCACAGGATCATGTTAAAATGGAAGGTTAAAAAGATTAAGGCTTCAGCTAGTGAGAACCATGGTCTTCAACCCTGTGGATTTCTAAGAAGGTATTTGGTAGTTATCATAGCAGGTTCTCAAGAACAAGTTTGGTGACAAGTAAGTTGATACATGGACATAATTTTGGGAAATAACTAATTGTACCCATACTTCAAATAGTTTTCTTTTTTTCTTTTTCATTACAGGCAGCCATGTAAGTCATATGCTACAGTTTTATAAGTTAAATACCATCAATCCTTCTGAGCTCTACAACATTCTAGTATAACAGTGTTATCTAGAATTATAGATGAAATATACAGTGTGGCTTTCACACACAACATAGCATGAAACTTAAGCCATATTATTCTCTCTCCACCCCAAGAAAATGTTATATGGATCCAACTACCCACCCAGCCATCAGTTTCCTGGTGCATACTTCCAAATAATTAGTATGGACCAAAAGGAGGTTCCAAGAATTCAGGATATTACTGATTTTTAAAAGTCAAGACATGAGAACAAATACGATTACAGATCGTCTATTCATAAGGATATTCTGCATTTCCTCAAGGAGAGGACTAAAAGGTACAGGCAAACTCTAGATACTTACCTTTAAGACATCTGTAGGATTGGCAATAGATGATGAGATGACTCCCGAAAGAACACCACATAGAACATTAATCATGAGGGTTTCATCTATTCCATAAACAAAGAGGAAGTTCAGCTGCAGATTTACAAAGCTTTAGATGCATCAGGGTAGGACTATGTCACCCCTCCTTTAACCAGAGAGAGCACCAGTTACAGAAGCTTTAAGAACTGCTCTGACAAATTTTCCTTGCTGGTTCACTTTAACTGGTACAAGGAAAGTCATTCTCAGTAGACTTGTTCAAACTGTCACAGTAAGATACCAAATGGAAACAACCAGCTTCAAGCAAATTAGTCCTCAATTAAATTGAAAAAACCCACTCACCTTCTGGATGTTCAACAAATGTTCTTTTTAAGCTCTGGTAAGTGCCTATTTTTATAGTTCCATATGAAGCTTGCCGTAGCATTGCAGGTGCAATCCTGTAAAAATAGGTAGTGATAATATTTATGCTCTAAATTGCAAAAGACTGATGAGCAAATACTTTTTAGACCAGGAAACTGAACAGAAGATATCTACCAGAGATAAGTTTAAGCATTTAAATCAATGATTTAATCTCACTAGAGACAAAAGGTTCAGGGGTTTGGGTTCTTTTGACTAAAGCCTGCAAGAGCATGAATGAACTGTGGAAGGATTACTATTAGAGCATGCCTCAACTTGTAAATGTATAAAACAGCTGGCAAGCCTGTCTGAAATGTAATCTGCAGATTACATCTTTCCTCCACCATCTTGCATGTTTTAAAGAAAAGCATGTCCATTTATACACAAATGTTAATTTTTCATGAGATGGAACAACCATAGCAGCATTGTATAGAACAACTTTATGCTTTGCTATTTCCACCCCCCCAAGTAGGTTTTGTTGTTTTGGTTTTGGGTTGGGTTTGTTTGGGAGTTTTTTAACATGAAATGCTGTTGCAGAGTACAAACATTGAAGCAATCTAAGCTTGGACTTTCAACTTCCAGACTGAGGATAACCAAATACCTCGTTAATTCTGAAGCCCAAGAATTTACACACTATGAGCTCATACTTATCAATAGACTGTTCATAAACCATTACTGCAAGTCAGTTAGTTTTACCCAGAGTATAAGGCTTTCAATCCTTCTTCTCTGCATATTCTGACTAGTGCATGCACCATTCCACGGTAGCGGATCTCTTTATATTTGGCATCATTAACTTGACCTTGAACCTGGAGACGTGTTTTGGTCAGATCAATAGGGAAAGTACCTTAAAGGGGGGAAAGAAAAAAAAAAAAAAAAAAGAAAAAAAGAATCAGAAAATTAATCAAGTACTTACATAACCAAACACAACAAAGAACATAATATAAAACCCAGCAACCTTTATTATATACTAAAATACATAAACACATTCCCATAGGAAAAAAGTCTCTCTTACCAAGACTTTCTTTTAAGCAAGCGCTTCATTTTATGTCACCTTTTTTCTTCTAAGAGCTTGTCAGAGGCCCTACCTCCTTCCCATGTCTGTTTTGCATTCATTATGTTTTTAGGAAATATGGCATTTTCTGGTTGTAAACAGCCACACTGAATAGACTCTGCAATCACAATCAAGTACAGAGTTTGGATGTGTGTTCTACCAACATCTTTGAAGAATATTTAATTGAAGGCAAAGAAATAAACTCCACAGGACAAGCTATACAGATTCTAGCCTGGAATCTAAAAAAGCAACAGCAGCAGTACTCATTCCTGTCATTGCTTTCCTGTAGCCTACTGCTATGTCAAGTTCATACTCTCCATGCTCCCTTATGAAAGGGCTTAGAAGCCTATTCCTCTAAAACCACCTCAACATTCAATACTCACCTAAACACTAATAGCAGTCAGGATTAACTACACCTGTTCTAATGAGGTTTACCAGACAAGCAAGGCTTCTTATGAATTGCTTGTCTCCCTCACAAAGCTCTTGCCATGACTGGCCACATTCAATCAAGACAGACAAGCTTCAAACTCAAGTTTTACCATTTTTCATAAAAAAAACATAGAAAAGGAAAACAAAATAGTATTTTTAATATACAACACCTCCTTTATTAGATAAATTTCACATGCAAGCCCACCAGATGTCAGGCTATGTTCTTCTACTGTGAAAAACCGGACTTCCTTTATTTTCATGCATACAGTTTAGGTAAGACTAAAAGGATGTTGGTATTTTAAGGTTTGTCTTTAGAGTAGACACCAAGACATCAGATACACCGTCTCACCATATCAATTACTCTATGATGCTCAGTAACTGAATTTAGGTGTTCAAATCTAATCAGCCACTCACAGTCAAGAGAAGGGAATTTCAACTGCAACATAGCGATTTGTAGAACTCGCTACTCAGAAAAGCTAAGAGAAAAATTTTACAAGCTAAGAGCTGAACTTGCCTACTCTAGCAAACAAAAGCTGGGTATACCTATGACCACTGTCCAGGAACAGATCAAACACTAAATAATAGAATGCAAAGGCAATGTCTGTATAAAAACAAGACTCACAAGGGATGAGAGTTTACAGACAGAAATGCTCTGACGCTAATAAAGTCCTGAGCGACTCCTTAGTCAGTACTAAGGAAAAAGCCTCCTATGCTTTAGAGCGCCATATACTATTGATTGCATGGAACCAAGCTTGTTTCTTTAAAAGAGACTGAGTACTGGAAATTACGTAAAGGGTTAAGAGAAAAGCTTACCACATTCTGCAGTGATTGATGCTAAACCTCCATAGATAAAGGGCTTCCAGTTTAGTGCTGACATTATTGATTATTCTTTCTGCAAAATAAGACAATGCTTCTGTAAGTACATGTTATATAAATATATATGCTAACATTTAATAAAGTTTTGTCTTGTCCATTTAAGATGAACCATCAAGGATAAAAGCATTTACTACCTGTTACAATCAGAAGTCGGTAATACTACACAAAGGCACCTAGGCACAAATCAATGTCTCTACCATGTATTTGGGCCACCACTATCCTCACCAGGAAAGGTTAAAGTAGTTTGTCTCCCAGACCTGATCTTATGGAGCACCACAGTGAAGAGCCTCCAACAACTCTTACCAAACTGAATTAGCTGGACTAAATTCTGCAATCAAATGAAATTTTACGACGATCTTTACTAAGCTTTTGTTCCTCTTTTCCTGGTATCAACATTAACATGAGCTGAGCTGCTACAGTTGGTCAGAAAATAAGGATGCATAAAACACTTTGCTTCCATTAAGGCCTATTTCTGCTACTGGTATTCACAATGTTAATTCTTGTGAACATTACATGAAAATAGTGTAGTCAGGTGCATAAGGCCTTTACTGCATAAGGCAGTAAAAAAGGCTGCTCTAACTTAGAAGTCAATTAAGTGATTTTGACAAAGTAACACAAATCATAATTAACTCTGGCACAGGCTTTTCAAGATGCTGAAATAATCCCATTAACTTAGAAAAGAGGCAAGAACAGCAAAACCAGACTTGTGCAGCCAATACAAGATTGCCCTTCCGAAAACAAAGTAGGCCTCTCCACAGCTTACTTTTTCCCCTTTTTATAATGTAAATACTTTCTATTGCCCATTTTCTACAATATCCTCCCCTAAACATTGGAAGGAAAAGGCAAGTAAGGACACCCACTACATTGCCAAGAAGTGCGCAGGAAAAAGATCAGGAGCCACAGGCTTAGCTTATGCCAGCTTTTCAACATGAAAGCATCAGAACCACACGGGTATGACACTGTGCCAGAGGGAGGCCATTTCCAGCTCCAAGTTCTTCGTATTCCTGTCCTGCCATGATAAATGGCAGATCATTTAATTAACATAGACAGAGCCAAGCTCAGTTTCTCCACTATGAGACATACATGTGATCTTTGCTCTTGAGAAACTTGTCAAAATTGAAAATACAATTACCTTTCTCCCTCAACACATTAACAAGTTTTCATCTACCACAAACACCGTAACACTGCTAAATTAATACACATATCTGCATTTCTATTTCACGCTGCCTAGGCAATGAAGGCTACTCAGATTTTCTATGCAGTTCTGGGGCACTGACATGATGTAGAAGCGTGCAACTATCGCCAAATAAAGTTTTCCGCTTGTACACAGAACTACTAATGCTGGCTGAAGTTTCAATACTTATGTAGGATACCCTAATGCAGAAATTTTACAGCACACTGTTCCTTTGATGCATCCCAAGGTGAGGGCCTTACATAGCACTGTTGAGGTTTGTATCTCTTAAAGGCTTGCTAACCTCCTCTCCTGCTATCGAGGCCAAACTAAGCATATAAGGTTTTCCACTTCTACCCTGCCATCCCCCTTCCAACTTTACAAACTTACATGAAGAAAGAAAAGCAGACTGGCAGAGCTTATCTAAATATATATACATATATCTCAAAAAAACTTAAACCAGCAATTTTTCCCTTTCACCTCAGCTGTCTCACTTTCATAGAACCATAGAATGGTTTGGGTTGGAAAGGACCTTAAGATCATCTAGTTCCAACCCCCCTGCCGTGGTTAGGGATGACTCACACCAGACCATGTCACCCAAGGCTCTGTCCAGCCTGGCCTTGAACACTGCCAGGGATGGAGCATTCACAACTTCCTTGGGTAACCTGTTCCAGTGCTTCACCACCCTCACTGTGAAGAGCTTTTTCCTTATTGTTTTCTGAATTCTTATTTTGCTTCTCACTTAGAATTTCTTCCCTACTCTGATAAAAATATGTTCTTCGAAGAATTCCATGTCAGATGAGTGGCAAAGAAAAGTTAGCCCTCATTATAGTGAGGCCTCCAGTTTTACTAAAGTTGTTCCCTGAGCATCAGTAAGATGACAGAGGAGATACTCTCCCTAATGCACAATGGGTTAAATTAATACAGAGATTCATCCACACACTGCAAAAGTCAGAAGCAAGTTTGATTGCTTTTAATTGGCAATGTAACTGAAATAAAAATCATAAGCCAAATTTCCATAAAAGAATGAATCAGGGCAAATATTTAGATATTTCCCTGCTAGGAAACAGGCTTTAAAAGACGAATATCAAATTCTTTATTTGTTAAACGTACTGCCAGCATGCTAAGCTCATAGTATATTCTAGCTTACAGTAGTTTTAGCTATTTAAAATGGATACGACTGTTACAGAAGGCTTACACTAATGAACTGTTAGTCTTAAAAAGTTGTTACCTGTAATATAAGCTCACGCATTTAAGACCATTATCCAAGCAATGCTTTTTAACTGCATGGATTTAACTGCAGCCACACAGCTCAGAGCTCTTATTCAAGCAGTGAAGTATGATCAGAAAGAAAAAGGCTAGATAAAGCTAGCAGCCATCGTGGCAAGCCCTTGCGAAAGAGCAGCTGTTTTGCAAGTAGGGAAGCCAGTGAAAGCCCTTCTCAACTAAACGGATACTCTGCAGCAGTGCCTCCCAGAGCAGCACCGCCAGCCTGTTTTAAACAGCTGGAACAGTGACACAAAGAGACCTGTGAAGGGGCCAAGGGAGGAGGCAATAACCACTGCACAGACCAAGCAACTTTTCGGCAACAACCGCCTACAGAACAAAGCACACCTCCGCCTCGAGATGAACGGGATCAGGAGAGGAAAACAAGGGAAAGGAAAGGAAGCGGCATGTCCCTGCTCGGGGGTGGAAGTCTCTGGAGGATGCCGAGCAAAGCTCAGCAAACCTTCGCCCTCCTTCAGAGGCATCACTTGGTGAAGCTCACCGAGAAACACCTGCACCCGGCCGGCCGAGAGGCGACTCCCTACCATCACCCAGCGACCCGAGGGGCCAC